GAATTTGTTGACTTGGACAACTCTATTGTAATTTTCTCTACACAGAGTGTATACAGACGTTTGGTCACTGGGAAGAATACAAACTTTGTTGAAGGAAAAATGTCTTCTGACGTTTCCAGGTTAGGTTTTTTTAAGAATGGCAAGCTGTGATGACAGTGTTTGAGGCCATGATGGTCGCTTTGGTGTGAGAGAAGGATAATCGGTGCACAGCTTGAACAACCCTGTCATCAGTTTGATTCAGATCCTATATAGGCCTCTCTGCACTGACATGGTTGCACTAACTCAGAGAGGCAAGGGAAAAAAAACGAGATGCTTACAGTGAATTTCCCCTCAGTGGCACCTTACAGTGTTGACAACCAGTAGTCTTAATGGTGGAAGACAGTACCGGGCTGGGGGGAGTAATGATTTTAGCTTTAAACTGAATTACCAATCGATCATCCTGCAGATCAGAATGCCGCTTGTGAGCCAAGTGCAGAAGAGCTACATTGCAGAGTTCCTACACAACCTGACTGCTGCACAAATCAAGGGACTATATCTAAATCTCTGTTTGACGCTGTGTGCAAAGTCCTGCTGAGTGTTAAAGACCTCACAATTATGGAGGTGGGTGCTGAGTCTTTGTGCTACATTGGGGTGTAAATTTTAAGCAGAGATTAATCAGAATGTAACTTTTTCAGTGGCTAGAAAGAGGTTTTGTGACAAACTCTTACTAACTGAAAACTAGCAGCAGGAAAACCTTTGACGGCAATTGCATAAGATAATACAAAGCAAACAGCAGTAGGTTTCTCTATTTATAAGGCCAGGCTTTACCTCCAGTGTGTTCACAGTCTTTTACTGAGGCCACTGGAGAACATATTAGCACAAGTGTCATGTTCCAGAGAACACATGCTAGGCTGTGATTACTGGGCTCAAGCTGAACTGTAAAATCACTTGTCAGCAGTTGATTTGTTTCTGGAAAAGGCTTGGCCTCTTGATTGAATTAGTTTGGTGGTTTTCAGTGGGGAGCGAAAATGTGTCCAACTGTGTTACACACTGACAGACGGCACTGATATTGTGACGTTAAGGCTTTATTTTTCAATGGGCATTGAAATAAAACAGTTGCATGTTTTTCTTTTTTTCTATTCTACTTCTGTTATTTAAATCAATTTAATTGGTATTCATCCTGCCATGTTTAAAACATGAATTTCAGACTTATAAATCAGAATTTGTAAAAACTGAATTATTGTGCAAGCTGTACGGGGCTCTTTGAGCATGAATTGTTCTGCTCTTTTTTGTCCAGTTCATGTTTACTGATAGGATCTGTGTGGTTACTCCATCATATTGAGGGTGAGATGGGGTCGTGTTGGTGCAATATTGCATTCGCCCTGAGGTTGAAATAATTTTGTTTGCTGTAATAGCTGTAAAACACCTTATTTCCCACTGGACGTGCTTTCATACAAATATTTCTGTGCAAGGATTGAAAAAATACCAAGCATTAAAGGCACTCCCAACTGTATTCTGAAACCAAAAACCAATACATGTGTAACTTTCGACTGATCCTGCTCTGTCTGATAATGAAAAGCGTATGTTTTTTTAATTAGATTCAGCGATTGTGCATTACATGTTTTGAGTTTAAAGAAAAGCTTTTCTTTGGATTTCCTAGAAATGCATATTCTTGCCATTCACTGCACACCTGCTTGGGGTTTTTCCCTGTGTGTGAGGGTGATCATGCAGATTCTGGAGTCTTTTCACATCAGGATCAGCAGCCATGTAAGCTTTTAATTCTCTCTGCTTAAACAGTTATTGAAGAAATATGCTGCTGGTGCAGAAAGAGAAATAAAAACAGTGTGCACGGCATTTGCTCTGCCATTTAGCCATGTCTGACTCTAAGCGCGGGCTCATTTTACGGAGAGCCTTTAGCTGTGAATTCACTTTGTTCATAAAAGCCTCAAAGCACCATATTTCTATGGCTTCACTGTGGTTTTCCTCTGCCAGAACAAGCAAATCAAAGTAAGAATCTGACATTTTGTTTTGTTTTTGGAACATTTTCCTCTCAGCGCAAATCCTAGGATTTGTTCAAAATGTCCATTTATAAAGCTCCTTCCATGTTGGCGTACATGCCGTTGTTTTGCCCCTGACATGGCAGCCTCTGCTCTCATCTAACTCATCACATCATTTTAATTACAGAGCCTTCATTGTCTACGCTGACCCATTTTACCGTCAGCTGCACGGACCCTCCAATCACACTTAATTTCTTCTGGCATTTGACTCAATCGGCAGTGCTGCAAACATGAGCTCTGAGTGCCCCTTTCTTCAGCACAGCCCTTCACCAGAAAGAAACTGGGAATAACAAAAACAATCTCCAATGTGGAATGAGCTTTTATGATTGATAACAGTAGCTGGGGAAATTTCGTACGATGTTAGTCACACTGTATCCAAGGAGGTTAGAAGCTTTTCTTAAACCACCTTTGAAACGCAGTAAAATACAACTCAGAAGAGACAACTCAGGGAGATTCACATCACTAATTGGAACTTGGACTTAACTTGATTGTGTTTTCTATAACGAAGCTAATGAGATTGGGATCAATGTCCTTGCCTGCAATGTTTGAATAAGCCATATCTCTAAGTATGATCTTTTTGTCTTAATGAGTCATCACTTTCTGATTTAGACACAAGCACATTTGTTAGGTTGTCTTAGGCAGAGCCTGGAGATATGTTGCATTGGTAGTAATTTAGATTATTCTGAGTGACAGTTATTGTAGGCATCAAATATGTGTGGAAAGCTCATTTTGAGAAGACATTTGACAGTACGTGATAAGGAATTGTCCTATGGATAATGCCCAATGTTTACCCTCCAATTTCTATCAAAAATGCCTCAATATATTCATTCCTCATATATCTGAAGTCTCTCAGTTGCAAATGCTAAAACAAATCCTCCCACAAAGATGTTCTCAGCTCTAAGCTCTGCTGTTGTTATGCTATTTTCCTCCTCCAATTATTAGGTGTGCATTTACATCCAAAGAGCTTTGCAGTAATGCAGCTGCATTTTTTCTAGTTGGCTTCAGATATTGAACTTTTTTTTCCCTTGTTGCAGAAGTGATTGAACATAGGTGTTACCAATCAGTTTTTCATGGGATAAACTAAAAGGTTTTATCTTTATTGATCTTTAGCTCTAAGGACAATGATTGACATGAATGTGTGACACCTGGTTATGGCTTTTTTAATACTGGATTATGGATCTAAAAGAGTTTGCTTTAAGATTTTGAAATTTTTTCTTTCTTTTGCCTAATTCTGGCATTGGGTAATATTTGGCTTTATCACAACACAACAGGATGACATGCAGGAAGACTTTAGCTGATTTCTGCTTTATTGTGATGTTTGTTTATCTGAAAAGCACTTAAAACAAAAAATGAGCTGTTCACATTTTTTTTGTTTTGAAACCTTACTCACAGCACCAGAAGGAGCAGGGCTTGCCCTGCGTGTAGCCTTATCTTGTTCCAAATCAGAACAATTTTCTAAGTGCTCGAAGAGCCAGGGATATCTCTAAGACTTTAATTTATTATCTAAAAGAAGACAAGGGACAGAGGAGCAATTCTGAGATAAGGCCATAGTAAGGTTAATTACCAGCCAAGTGGCTGACGTAACCCAGCCACATCATGTCTCCAGGTTACACGCAGCAGGAGAATGAAGGAGTTATAACAGTTGACAGATGTTTCTCATTGAAGCCGTGCAATGCTGCACTTCTTTGTCTAAAATTATTGATATAAACAATGTAAACCCCAGTTCTTAGGTCAGATGTAGTTCAGTGGGGCAGCTTCAGGCTAACATGGCACTGGAGGCCCAGCGGGCTGGTACCACCTGCTTCAGTAACTGCAAACAGAGCTCATGGCACCTCTACTCGTTTTGTAGCACAGTTAACACTGCTGCTGACTTCCCACTCTCTCCCTGGGGCATAGACTAATTAATGGATACCATTCGCACTTGATTAGCAGCACTTCTTTCTGTAATTACATTCTTATACTAACCACTCATAAGAAAAGAAGAGGAAACCATCATCGCCAGGGAAAAAAATCATCTCATTTAGCTCCAAGTTTGTTACAAAAAAAAAGGTTTTAGAGTGTCAGGTATACAGTAGCAACTAGTGCCTAACGTGAGCATAAAGGACATTACTGCATAACCATTAAACCTGGGTTTTCAGTAGGATCTCATGAAGATGTAACCTCACCACGATTCTGTCTTTCCTGAGCTGTGCAGGGTGTTTGCTTTTCTCACTCTTACAGAGGTGCATTGTGCTCCTGGGCCCAGCTGCTGGCCCATAATTCTTCATTCTATTTCCCATTGTTCCTATCTGTCAGCGCAGTTGTGTCTCAGAAGAAACAAAGTGGCTGCCATTTTGCCAGCAGGCCATGTGTGGGTTGGGAGGGGCGGGGACATGTTGTGGAAACGTGTTATTTCTTTCTAAACTACAGGGTTTTAATAGCTTATCAGCTGCCTTAAATACTACCACTTCTTTACACTACCAAACACACAAACTATCCATTGTTTCTTACACTTCCATTTGATGCATGTGGGCAGTGATGTTTTAAAGGGATTTCTGTGTCAGCGATTCTGCATGAATTTGAGTTTAATACAATGATAAACCTAGCTATCTCTGACCAACAGTGTACCCCTCCCCTCAACCTCTTTATTTCCCTCCTCCCATACGTTATGTGAAGTTAATAACCTGTCACTGCATCCTGATACTTGGCTTTGTCATGCAAACATATCCTTAATTGCCATCCCATAAGAGCTGAAAACCCACAGCAGATTCTCATTACAGTGGCTTAAATTGACCAGAGCCTCTCAATAACAGCGATGTGGCAGAATGCAGCTTTGCAGGTGGAGAAAAGGCTTAACTCCGTATGCAAACATTTGAAATGTGACAAAGTGATGGATGTCCTTTGAGACAAATGTGTTTGTACACTGAAAATTACCTGGATGTCCTTGACTCATGTATATCTGTTTTTTTGCATCTTTTTTCACAGTTCCAGAATAACAACAATTACATGAACATGGCCGAAGCAAATGGCACCCTTCTTGCTGCAGGGGATGTGAGTACTCTTTTCTTTTTCTTTAGTTTAGTTAAACTTGCACCTCTATTTTCTACTTCAGGCAATCACAAAAAAATGATATTACTGATAATGGTTCCCTTCATTTCACAAATGGATGAAATAATGCAAACTTTTATCTCGTTTAATTAACGAACCAATCTCATATATCAAGTCCAGTTTTTCATGATTGGTTTTAAATAGAATGTAGTAAAAAAAACAACATGATTACTACTTTAGAGATACGTTTAGGATTAATCTGTTTTCACCATCTATGATTTATGACAAATCTCTCTTTTCTGCAACATCAGTTGTACATCTACAAATACAGTAAAATCATGCTGTATAATGTTTTATGAGAAGGTATTCATTGTTGAAACCCAATTAAAAGGAATTACTGTTAATATGATTTACTCCTTTACCTCTAAAACTATCTGTAATATAACTTGACATTTTTATTTGCACACCTGAACGTGTAATTCAAGTTAGTCATACTTCGAGACATATTTTATTATCTTTCAAGCTTATTATTAAAGAGAAAAAAATCTGAGATGTCAGTGCTATTAAATTAGACATTTTTCATTGTAACCTCATTAGATCATCTGTATTCTGTCATTAACTGTTTGTATTAGAAGCACAAGTGGTGTCACTATTTGTGTGTGTGTCTGTTACAAAGGAGTAGGGCTGAACAATTAACCTAACTTGCAATATAATCACAATTAAAAAAACATTCTATTTCCAAATTATAGAGGCACCAGAATTTGGTCATATTGCATTTAACTAGAGTAAGACACTGATTTTCTCACTCCAGCCCTTTAGGTGGCTGTAAGATACTTAAATTAGTTTTTTGCAACATAGGAGGGAAGAGAGAGTTGCAGTTAGATCCATGCATGTGAGCTAAAAATAATAACTTTTCCACAACACAGAAAAATCCTGCGACAATGGACGCTTGACACAAAAGCATTTAAGGCCATGTGACCATGGAGCAATTTATTTGTATATATAGAGATATATAGATAGAGCTAAGCATATTGTATTCCTGGTTTCTGCAATCCAAACTCTTTAGAATTATCACCCTGAATGAAAAGCCAAAAGGCCTCTAATGGACGTACACCTTTTTTTTTTCTAAAACCTTCTTCCAGCTTTTGTGCTTCCCCTGATTAAATTTTTTTAACATCCAATTAATGTTAAGAAAACTTCCTTGCTGTATAATATATTCCAGATCCAGTGGTGTTGCTAGTGTGACCTCACAGCCCTAATCTATGGTGTGCTTATGGATCAGGAAAAAAAATACTTTTTTAGTTTCTGACAGGCTAATCCAATATTCTGGGTCTGTTTATCCTAAATACTTTAAAGGAAGTCATCTACTAGTTTCTCAGTAGAGATCGAGGTTATATGTATGTTTAAGTGAGTGAGAATTTTCAATGATATTCACAATAACAAAGCAGTAGAAGACTGCATGTTCCCCCTGTCTGTGCGATACAGATTTAACTTTCCAAAGAAAAAAAAAATCTAATGAATCGAGCAATTAAACAATACTAGAAAGGAGACAGGCTAAGATTTTCTTACTGTTCCAGTAAAAACATAAGAAGTGAGATTGGATTTTACCCTTTGCAACCGTATGTGTTGAGTCAAAACATCCCTTTAAAATATAAAATTAAGCTGCATTTGAGTGTGGCTAGAAAATCAGAAAAACCACTGCAAAACTCATTTCAGTCTAAACGTTGGATTCCTTTTTAAACAACAATTTTATTTTCTCTGCTTTCATGTTAGTTTATTTATAAAGCTGGAATTTAACTGTTGAAATTTTAATAACATCATTGAGGGTGTTTTCAGTAGGACAAAATTGACTAAACTTTAAAATATGGAAGAAAATTGGAAAAAAAAAAACTAAATAAAAGGAGGAGTATGAAAAAAGAAAAAGTGAAACAGAGTTCTAAACTCTGTAAATATGATTTTAAAAGCGCATAAGTGATTAATTACTCTTTCCATAAATTAATAAAATAAAAGCACAGAAATGTGAATGTAGAGAGGACACATTTGTTTTTGTTAATTACTGCGTAATGTTAAGTAGTTATACATTTGCAACCAGGCTCATCCCACGGTGTCATGCAGAGATATGAATTTTCTCTGATCTGACTACCTTGCTTGCAATCTGTACCTTCAGCTTTCTGAGATAAAAGCGGTATCTTCGAAACACGAGTTTCCCTTTCCATTTGTTAGGCTATAATAAAGGGGCAAAGTACATTCAACAGTCATATCAACATTTGAGTTGATCCACCTGTGAGCACTTATGAAAAATTAAATGTCAGCAACTGCATTTTGCTGTGTTGTTGCAGAAATAACACTGTGTTGTTTTTCTGCATTGAATGATTAAGGGGAGTAGTGATTACAGTGTTAGCCTATAGCTGCCTCTATGAACCATAGTCTTCCTCACAGTGAGCTAAATTTACCCGTTTTATTCTCCCTCCGCCCACTCCAATGCCCTGTCATTAGAGACAAGAGTACCAAAAATACCCGTTGTCCTCTGTGGTTCAAACGGTTCAGCCACATTCAGAGATTGAGCTGGCTTCTAAACCCGCAGCAAAGCACTATTACACTACTCCAAAATACAGAGATAGATGGCATTGTTAACCTCATTGTTTTCATTCATGTCAGCTGGACAGCAGGGTTACATTTGTGACACACCAGATCAGGCAGCTACTCACAAGTGCGTGTAGCGCGTGACCTTGTGTTCATAAAGTGGCCGCCTCACAAAGCCACAGAGCATTATAGAAGAAGTCTAATTTTCCCTCACATTTACGCTGACTGGGCACATCCTCTGCATCTACGGGCCACATAGGCCTGGTGCAGCAGGGAACACATTGAAACAGTCTGCTTGGAGAGCGTTCAGCCCCCAGCTGTGAGGGCCCACTGTGGCAATGAGATGAGGGGGTGCTGGGGGGTGATCCTTGATACAAATGCTCCAACTCATTTGCATTTAATCAAAAGGAACAACTGTTTCCAGTGTTAGGGCACAGATGGTATTGTGCTTTTAAAGGAACGAAGAGAGAGACGGTCATAAAAATTTATTTTTTTTCCAAACTTTAAAGTTTTCAGACTGTGTTTTTTTTTTTTTTTTTTTGCAGCCTTAGCTAAAGCATAATCTCGTTTATCTAATGAGGATTTGTTTTTGTCTAATGTGAACATGATATGTGTAGTGGGAAGGAATTGATTTTCTAGCTGCTGTATGATGAAAAAAAATCATTTTTTAAAATTAAACTACATATGATATTTGTTGAGCTTCTTTTAAAAAGCTATAACCAGGTCAAAATACTAACACTGAACACTCAGTTTAGGCAAATGAACTCAGATTTAATCATCAGTACCGCACATCATCGGTGACCATATCCGTGTTCGTTCTCAAACCCACACAGGAGTTTATAAGAAGGAATAGATGAGCCAAACTCATCCTACATTCTCATAGATAGCTACATAATAAGGTCTTACTTTTCCTGAATTAAACAAGATAGCATTGCACATCAACCTGAGAAAAAATTGTTGTTAGAGCTTTGGGTATCCTTTCCATTAGTCGGTACAAGGAAGCTAGGTTTAGTTTGTGTGTCCAGTTTTGTAATTTTGGCCATTTTAACAGTTTAAATAAAAAGACAATGATTATTTTTAGTTAATAATATATTAATATTTTACATAGAATGTAACATTTTACCAGGGAACTGGCTGGTTATTTTGTTTTGAAATGAATAGACCAGAGTTTTTTTTCTCCCCTTGGTCCGGACCTTCTGTGAAGGTGTGAATAAAGACTAGTAGACAGTCCAGACAAAACAACCAGACCAAGACGAAAATGGCAAAATGGACTCTACTGCAGTTCGCTTCAGGTATAAATGCAAACAATCTGACCCAAATGCAGAAGGCAGGCATCTTTTTGGACTTAGCAAGCCACCGTAGTTTTAAAAGTGCCATCGAAACTGTACCTGTTCTACTGTCTGTTGTTTAGCAGTGGTGCTTTGAGCCTACAGTGGATTTCCCTCGACTTGAAGGACACATTTGTAGCTGCAATGACAGCATAAATATGCAAAACATATGTGCTGCATGATGGACTTCCGAATGAACGTCCCCCATTTTGGTGTCTCTCTCCTGCTGTAGTCATTTCTGACCAGTGGGAGCAACTTTGGCTCAATTGTGGCTGCGCTGGGAATTATAAACCACCCGCAAAACTAATTGTTTTTTAATCCAGACCAAACAATAGTCTGCCTTTGGTCTGGACCTAACAAGGGGACCAAATGACTTTTCTGGTGTGAATGCACTCTTAGTATCTTTGGTCAGTATGGAAATAGGGAAATGGATAATATACAACATAGTCTTCATGTTCATGTGTCTGATATTTACCAGAAAGCAAATTTGCTTCATAATTACCGTGATAGAAAACACTGTCATGAGTTAGAATCTTTATTCAAAGTATTTTTCAATTCCAAGAAACATAAATACATAATTTCATGTTTGGAGAAATATGATTACTTTGAAGTGTAACTGGTAGTATAATTACTTATTTGACTTTCCTAAAATCTGTAAGAGAGCAATGGTCAGTCGACCTCTGTGTTACAATAGCATTCCATTTTTAAGATATAATTTTATTTTGAGCAATAACAGTTCTATGTTACCAAGCAGAACATTTATTATGCTACTGAGGAAAAGTTATTGATTGGAAAAAAGATAAATAAATAAAAAAAAACTACTGGTAAGTTATTACATCTTTGCCTTTTATCACATTTAAAGTTGTTTTTATGCCATTGGTTGCAGGAGACCCTGAACATAAGTCTGTTTAATTCAAAGAATATTCATGTCTTATAATCCTCAAAGTAAAGTCTTCAGTCCAATACAATATATGTTATAGGACACAAAAACTGATGTTCACATATACTTGCTATGTCATACTATGAATTAGTTATGTTGCAAAGGTGAATTGGGCAAAATGTTTGCCTTCGATATAAAAGCAGGTAGAATTA